AAATTCTAGGAATATCTTATCCACGAGGAATGAAAGATAGCTTATGTAATATGAAGCAATATTCCTGAGATATCTATTTTTGCTGATATTAATCGGAAGAAGTAACATTGGATCCTTAATATCATATATATATCCTGATTTGAAAAACCAAATTTTTGCCATAAATGATGATTTAATGTTACTTTGATTAGCATAAAATTATTATCAAAAATTTAAAAACTTGAAATTAAATTTGTGAAAATATAAATGAAATTTAAAAGTTTTCAAATAATTTCAATTTCTCAATTTTACGATAAAGCATGAAAAGTAAGAATTGCTAAAAATTAAAACAAATATTTCTTTTAATAATAATTTAAACAAAAGTTATTTTAATAAATTTGAAATTTATTAAAGAAATTCAGTACGATTTTTCAAAAAAAAAATTTGCATAAAGTTGATTACAAAGTAATTAAAATGGAAAAAACATATGAGTGAAGAAATTTGGTGATAATTATTAGGTAAGGTATGAAAAGTTTAAAATGAAAAGTTTCAAATAGAACTATGCAATTTACTCAATTTTACTTCTTTTTAATTATGTCCAGAAAAAAAAGTTATCAATTATCAGTTCTAAAAGTTATCAATTAATAATTCTAAAGTAGTTATTAATTGAAAATGGAATTAAGAAATCACTTGCAAATTATTTATAACATTACTGTATTTTTGATTAAGACAAAAAGCTGTTTCCTGAAAAAAAAAACGAAAAAAGAAAATATTAAAATATTAAAATTTTTCATTTGTGGAAAATTTTTGGAAGTCTGATTTGTGATTTTAAAAATTAATTGAAACAATATTTTAAAAAGTTAAAATCATCTTAAAAAATTAGTAAATTCAATGTAAGACGAAAACTTTAAAGTAGTTTTAATGATTTTTACTTTTTTTTTTTTAGAAATAAATTAACACAAACAATTAATTCAAGGAAAAAAAAACGAAATGAAATTTTCAAAAATCTAAAACTAACGTGCAAATTGTTCATTATCACGTAAAAATGCTTCCGGATCATTGTTACATTTTCCGGAAGATAGGGTAATATCATCTAATGCTAACCAGAATTGATCACCATCTTCTTTTTCAGCTTTCAATGATACCTAAAAAAATAAATCATTCATTGATATTCCAATCATTTGTTGTAATCATTCAAATATGGTAATTTTACAATTTTTGATAGTTTGTTTTATAAGTTTTTAAATTTTCAAAATTTGCATAATTCAAAATTTAAATCTCCAAATTTTATCTCTGTTGTTATAACAATTTAAAAGTATATAATAGAAAAGATTTAAATTCTTAAAAATAATTGATAAACGGAAATGTTCAAAATTAGTTTGTTATCAAAAAGTAAACCTGAAATATATCAGATGGATTAATAAAATCTAAAAGTAAATGATGCCAATGCTCTTTTGGTATTTCTTCAAATTTTTCAACGAATAAAGTATTGCCAGCATTATAACTATCCACTTCTTGTATTAATCCAACGGTAAATATACCTTAACATATATTAATTTTTGAATTCATATACAATTATATTTTTAGTAACAAATTTAATTTTTAATTAAAAAAAAACTTTTTCAGAAATTGACAAAATTATCAATCAAAAAAAAAATGAAACGGTGATATGATTAGCATATGAAGAAGCATTGCTTGCGATATTTGAAGTAACAGAATATCAAAATATACCTCATTTGATGATAATTAAATTTTTTTTAAAGCATTTTAATTTCCTTCTAAATGATTTTTAAATATTTGATTATTTTTTAAAGTATTTCATGAATTCAAATTACTTGTAAAACAATACCTTTGCTTAATTGTCTAATATAAATCCATATACTTAGACAATAATTATTATCATTAAGAGTGATTGGTGTCGATATTAGCTGACCATAATTCTTATCAAATATCGTTGATTGCAAGCTTACAAAATGTGTTGCTGCAAAAATTTTTGAATAATAAATTTCGAAATTATCAAATTTATTAAATTTAAAAAACTAAATTTAAAACCACTAAATTTCAAATTATTAAAATAATTAAATTTCAAAATAATAATAGCTAAAAAAATCTTCCTTAGTTTTAATTATTCCTTAATTTCGAAAATATTTTATTCGTTTGGTTTTTGTGCTAATAATATTGTTTCAAAAATCTATTAAAAGAAAATGCAATTTAATTTCGTTACTATGAATAATTGATGATTTGTTGAATTTAATTACATTAAATTTTTTGAAATATTTAAAAAATTTCAAAGATTTTTAAATATATAATTTTAAAAAATGACAATTGACGGTTTAATGGAATTTGACTATATTAAACATTCAATCAATGCTTAGCATAATGCGTCATTTGGATTTTAATTTAATTTCGAATTTCATTTATTTAATTATAAATTTAAAAAAAAACTTACCCGAGCGAACCTTTAATTCATCAAAGCTTTTAGCTTCTATCATTTTCCATTGAAGTGGAGCTGATGGATCAGAATAAAAGAAACATTTTTCTAATTGCTCAAAATTGAATCGAAGTTCGAACAGCTCTCCTAATCCTTTCTTTAGTGATACTTAAATTTAATTTAAAATTAGCAGCACTTAAATTTAATTTAGAATTAGTGACACATAAATTTTCATTAGTGATATTTAAATTTAATCCAAAGATTATGCAAAATTTTAAAAATATAAAATTTAATGAATTAATTACCATTTGTTGGTGTTCGAATAACTTCTCCAGTAGTCCATGATGATTCGATTCCATTTGGTAAAATTACTTTTATGATAATTTCATAATCAGTTCCTGGTTGAAGATTGTTAAGAAGCACGTATGGAACTGTTGATGTTATTTTTTCCAAATTCAACGATTGGTATTCACCGTATCTAAAATGAACAAAAAAAAAAAGAAAAAGAAAAAAAGGAAAGATTACTTCAAAGATACTGTATACCAATACAGTAAATACTGTATATCAATACAGTAAATAAGTTAAAATTAAAATTATAAAATTCATAATTATTAATGTATATATGCGTAAAGACAATTAAGCTACTATGTTTAATTACTTGAAACTTTTCAAATTTAAATTTTTTAAAAAAACTTTACTGATAACATACTGTATTATATATTTTCGCTTTTGAAATAATGATTTGATGCTTTCAGATGGATGATCATAATAAATGTCAACATTTGGATCTGCCCATTGTATTGCAATTTCAGTAGGTGAAATTGCTTTCACTTCAACATTTGTTGGTGTTTGTAAATTAATTAATTGTTCATCTGAAATTTGTTCGTTTTCTTTTTTAAATTATTATTTGAAAAATTTTCAATTTAATTTAATTTTACAAATAATAGAAGAGAATTTCAATTTCCTTATATCTTATGCTAGAATTTTAACTTCCTTATGAATTTAAAAAAAAAAAAGCAAAAATGATTCTTTAATCATCATTTTTTTTACTTCCATAATTAATTAAAACGGAAAATTAAAATGACTAATAATTGTTATTAATATAATTAACACAGTGTCAGCTAAAATAATGTCAACCTTTTTTTTTTTTAAATGATTTGATGATAGCATTTATTCTTCTAGTGATAATAAAATACTTATTATTAGCTTGTTGAATTAATGCATTTACTTATTAATTTAATTAAATTTGCATAAAAGTATATGATATTTATTTATTATATGTAAATTGTATGTGTGAATATTTGCCATT